AGTTGAGCGTGCAACTCTTGGTTTCAGCTCAGGTCATGATCAAGCCCTGCTTTGGGAGCTAAGAGCTTAGCAGGGAGTCTACTTGAGATTCTCTCTCTTCCTTTCCTTCTGCCCCTCCCCCCACTGTTGCTCTCTCTCTCTCTCAAATAAATGAATAAATCTTTAAAAATATATATAAAATTGTGACAATACCAAATGCAGGTAAGGATTCTGAGAAACACACATTGTTGAGTGTGAGAATGTAAATTGGTACAATTGCTCTAGAAAATAGTTTGGCAGTTTTTTAGAAAACTGAACATTCAATTGCCATATGACCCAGCAATTATACCCCTGGGCAATTGCATTTATTCCAGAGAAATGAATATTTAGATCCATCCAAAAACCTGTACACAAATGTTCATAGTACTTTCATTAGAAATCACTTGGATGTCTGTCAGTGGGTTGAATGGTTGAACAAACTTGTATATCCATTGCATGGACTACTAGTAAGCAACAAAAAGAATGAGGTATAAATACAAACAACTTGGACGGATCTCAAGGGCATTTGGCTGAGTGAAAAAGCTATCCTCCAAAGCTTACATACTAGTTGCTGTGGTGGTTACACAAATCTACACAGATGATAAAATGATGTAGAACCATAAACACACATTGTACCAAAGTCATTTTCCTGTCTGTGATATTATATTAGAATCTCATAAGCTATAACCACTGGGTGAAGGGTACACAGGACCTCTGCACTACAGTTACAATTCCCTATACTCTATAGTTATTTCAAAATAAAAAGGTTTTTTTTTTTAAGATTTATCTATTTATTTTAGACAGGGGGAGGGGCAGAGGGAGGGAGAGAGAATCCCAAGCAGACTCTGCACTGAGTGCAAAGCTCCACACAGGACTCAGTCTCACGACCTTGAGATCACGACCCAAGCAAAAAACCAAAAGTCAGTCACTTAACCAACTGTGCCACCCAGATGCCCCTAAAAAGTTTTTTTAATGCCCTAGAGGAGAAGGTATGCTACTAAGACAACCTCTGATGGATTATAGTCTGTTTTAGATGTGTATGCAGTGACTTTTTATAAAGACCAAGTCCTCATCTCTTATAAAAATATACTATGGTTTTTACAGATGAAATTATGTCATATCTAGGATCTGGAGGTGGAGGGGATATGGATGATGAAACAAAATCGCCCCCATGTTGAGAATTGCTGAAGCTGGATAATGGATGTACAAGATTCATTCTCTCCCTTTGTACTTATTTAGAACTTTCCATAATAACAGTTTAAAAACAGAAATGAAATAAAAATGATGAGGGTTCCTTGGGACGCTTGACTGTGTGGGTCAGGGGCAGGGCTCAGACCATTACTGCCAGGCTAGAGCAGAGGGCTTCTCCAGTCAGTTCCAGTTCCAGGGACAGAGTGCTTCTCTCATCAAGTCCCATGCCTCTATGTCCATATTTGGCCACATGCACGAAGCTTTAGCTGTATTCCAGGCATTGGCTCTGCCAGGCCTCAAAGGCTCTACCTTCCATTACTTGCCATCATCCTCCAGGCCTTCCTACATTCACTTACTCATCTTTCCATTTTTTTTTATTAATTTTTTTATTGTTATGTTAATCACCATATATTACATCATTAGTTTTTGATGCAGTGTTCCATGATTCATTGTTTGTTCATAACACCCAGTGCACCATGCAAAATCCATTTTTTTATTCATCTGTTCAGTCGTTCCTCTGTCCACCATGCTCCCATCCATCTCTTTACTCATTCATTTCTTTAACACCCACTGAAGTCTACATCAATGAATAAGGCATGGTTACTGCCTTTGGGGAGACGGTCAGACAGTGCAATGTATAGGGGATGTATGATAAGTGCCATGACCATTGTCTGTACAACGCTCCTTAGGAGTGAGATAGAAACCGATGTCAGTCCTTGGAGTGATGATGTTAGAGAAGACTTTCACAGAGGAGGTACTGCTTGAGATGAGTCTTCAAAGTTAATATTTTCACCTATGTTTGGCTCACCCAGGGAATGTAGGATAATCCCATTTTGATGTCAGCTGATTTGCAGACTTAATTCCATCTTCAATCTTAATTCCTCTTTGTCATGTAAAATAACATATTTGTGGGCTCCAGGGATTAGGACTTTGACATCTTTTGGAGCCCATTACTCTGCCTCCCACAAGAATAGAGTCCAGAACTGGATTTAAGGCCAGAGCAGACATTGTGGATTCATAGGAAAGAACTGTCTATTCTATAAATGGTGCTGAGAAAATTGCTTATCCTTACAGAAAAAAAATGAAATTGGATTCTAAAGGTTGTGGATCCCATTCTCATGTGTGTTCCCATCACCACGCAATTTCTCAGACACCAGCAAGGTGTCCTACAATTCAGCTCTCAATTCTCACACTCTCCACCTGGAGATAGCATCAGATTCCACAGGTCAAGGGCTCAGTCCTACAAGACCGCCATTGTTCTCCCACTTCAGGCACTAGTCACAAGCCCAAGGTGTTTCTGATCCACAGGCTATAAATGGGAGGTTCCAACAAATTCCCACCTTGGGTTTCATTAATTTGCTAGAGCGGCTCACAGAACTCAGAGAAACATTTTACTGACTAGATTACCAGTTTATTACAAAAGGATAGAACTCAGGAACAACCAGATGGAAGAGAGTCCCAGGCAAGGTATGCAGGAAGGGTCACAGAGCTTCCATGCCCTCTCCAGGTGCACCACTCTCCCCAAATCTCCATGTGTTCACCAACCAAAAAGCTCTCCAAACACTGTCCTTAGGGTTTTTATGGAGGCTTCACTATGTAGGCATGATTGACTAAATCATTGGCCACTGGCTATTGGTCCAGACCTTCTCCCCTCCCTAGAAGTGGGTTGGGGGGCAGACTAGGGGCTTTCCAAAAGTCATCATTAACATAACAAAAGAAACCTTTATCACTCTTATCACAGAACATCCCAAGAGTTTTAGGAGCTCTGTGCCTGGAAAGGGTCAAAGACCAAATATAAAATTTATTATAAATCATAATACTACAGATTTCAACCTACACAATACACAAAAAGCATTCCCAAGTGCAATAAAAACTTAATGTCAAAAGAAAAACTATAAAACATTGAAGGATAACATAGAAGAGTATCTTTGCAACTTTGAGGTAGGGAAGAGTTTCCTAAGCACAAAAATTATAAACCACACCGGACATGATTGATAAATTTGCCTATATGAAAATTAAGAACTTCTGTTCATCAAAAGCATCTTAAAGAGAAGGGACAAGCTACAAAGTGGGAGATGATACTTGTGATACAAGTGGGCGACAAAGATTTAGTATGCAGAATTGGGGCAGTGTATGTATATATACACATACATAGAAATATATTTTTTTACATTATTGATTATATTAAAGACCAGTAGCTCAATAGACATAGATTTTTCACATTAAAGGAAATACCAATGACCCATAAACATAGACAAGGTGTTTGCCTCATTAGTGATCATTAGCGATCAAAGAAATGTAAATTCAAACCACAGTAAGATTCCATTCCATACCCATCAGCCTGTCAACAGGCTGACAACGCCAGTCTTTGGAGCTGGCTAGGATGTGGTGTGGTGGGAACATTCATACATACTGTTGCAAGGCTTTTTTTTTTTTTTTTAGAGAGAGAGAGAGAGAGAGAGTGTGTGTGTGTGCACGTGGGGGACAAGGGCAGGGGGAGAGGGAAAGGGAGTCTTAAGCAGACTCCATGCAGAGTGTAGAGCCTGAGGTAGGACTCCATATCATGACCTGAGCTGAATTCAAAAGTCAGACACTTAACCATCTGAGCTACCCAGGTGCCCCACTGTTGGAAATGTTAAGTGGTAGAATAGCTTTGGGAAACAGTTTGGCATACCTAGGACCCAGGGATGCAACACCTGGGTCCTACCCACCCTAGAGCATCAATTCACACCAGGGGTAATGATTTTGCCAAAGAGGGCAAAAATCTTAGGCATGACAATGATTTGTGGCCTTCCAAAGAGCCACGGAATATAACAAATATACAGTATATTTGTGGTATTAAAGTTTCATTGGGATGATTAGGAAAACAATGTATAAGAGGCTCTTAAGGGGGCAGTAATGAGAAAGAGGTTGAGAACCACTGTCCAAGGGGAAACTGTGGAACATGTGCCCAGGAGGTGTGTAGGTATGTTTGCAGTACCATCATTCATACCAGCAGCAACACAGAAAAGCACCCACTGCTCTCCAGCAGTGCAATGGATATGTAAAATTTGACATGTTCATAAAATGTAAGACTGTGCATCAGTGAGAATGAATCAATCACAGCTACACAAGCAGTTGAGTAAAAAAAAAAAAGCCAGCCAAAGCAGAAATGCTACTGGATGGTCCCATTTATATAAGGTCAAACCATGCAAGACTCAACAGAAATAAATGCTAAAACACAGCATGGGTGGGATTTATAGAAATAATGGATAGCTCTAAAGGAAAGAGAGGGGAATGCAGTTGGAGTAGGGCATGCAGGTGGTTGAATTCTAAGATTCTGGTATTTTTCTTAAGCAGAGTAAGTACTATGGAATTCGTTTTATTAATTTCCAAACTATACTTAAATGTATATACTGTATATTTCTTTGGATACATATATATTTCATAATAAATTGTTAGCATTATTCTTAAGGGCCTTCTCCCATACCTGGCACATTGGTAGATGGCTTTGAATTGAATTCAGCTGGAGGGGACTCTTGAACGTCATGCTCCAGCAGATATTTCTGTTTCCTTTCTTAGGGAGGTGGTGGGGATTGAATGGTAGGTGATTAACAGCAATGGGGTGAATGTCAACCTGTGCACTCTTTCAACCAGACCATGTTTTTGCAGCAAAACTGGTTTGAGAAACTAGTTCCCAGGCCTTCTCCCTCCTCTCAAAGAAGGAGCATTTATCCTGAAAAGGTTCATCTCCTGCTCTGCCTGTCCCCCTTCCTCAGCTTCTCTTTGCCAGCTGGTGTCTCTCCTTCCAGCTATCCCTGATGGAGTTCTGGACACAGCCATCCGTGCTGATGAGGCGGGAAGTGAGGAGGACCTGTATGAGGACATGCACAGCTCCAGCCACCACTACAGCCACCCTGGAGGGGGTGGTGAGCAGCTAGCCATCAATGAGGTAGGGTCAAGGCTGCATGGGTGAAGGGATGGGGCTGGGACAGATGGCCTGGATGTCAGGGTGAGTCCAGCATGCTCGCACAGGCCTAGATGTCCACAGTCTCTGTGTTCCAAGCAGATGGCAGTGGCCCCCACGTGTACACAGCACCGTTTCAGCCTGTGGCTCTCACTTAAGGATGTGGGGTCCACCAGCAGAGCTTCCCCAAATACAGGACCTGCCGCTCTGCCTTCATGGCCTACAGGGAACCCAGAATGGCAGGCATGACCCAGGACCTACAATGAAAGAATGCTGATCTGTCCTTCCCCATAATAGCCCCTGTAAGCCATCCTGGATCAAACAAGGTCTGCTTGGCAGAATGGAGGCCAGGGCTTAGTCCCCTGTCCCTTCAAGAAGTTGTCTGGGCAGGATGGGAAGCAAGGCAAGTGAAAATTGATTTCTCTCCTATTGACTCCAAGAGCTCAAAAAGCTTTCTGGTTGCTATGACAACTGTGTACAAGTTTGTTTGTTTGTTGGCTGTTCTTACCTAAACAGAAGAAATTAGTGACATACTTCCTCCAGGCAAAACTGCTTCCCATACCAAGGACTCCTTTTGCATTCTCCAAGGACAGAGACATTTTGAGACCTTGACTCCTCTCTTTTTCTCATTTGTACTCCTATTTTCTCCCCCTCTTCTTTTTTACTTAATTCGGCTGGTAGGGGAGCCCTAAACATAATGTGGTTCATAACTCACATCCATTACACCACATTCTCTTTCTGGTCATAAGCTACTATGTATTTCTGCCTCATCAAAACCAGAATCTGACCACCCAGGATCTTGCAGCACCTCAGGAGGGGGCCAATTTATGAACAGTGTGAATGAATGGGCTGGTAGGATTCTCAGAAGCCCTCAAGGAGTATGCCGTCCTCATTACCTACTCGACAGATGGGTACAAACTAGATGGTGGATCAACTCTTCTCTCAGACCCGGATCTGAATAATGATTTAAAAGTCATTAAATAATGCTTTATTCAAAATCCATGGTGTGTTAAATAGCACATATCCAAGTAAGTTGATTTTTCCAATACACAGAGTCTTTCTTTAAGTACTTCTCATCAGCTATTTTGAATGGAAGATGTCCTAAAATTATGTCATCTCAAGCCGAATTCACAGATAATGGTTTGCTTTTCCTTGAAAGTCTCAGGTTGCCCTCCTCAGTCTTGGGCCCCAGCCCTGGTGGGGAGCAGCATGGTGCAGGGGGTAGAATCTGAGTGTTGGGGCCTCCCAGACCTGCATGGGAGTTCCTCCCTGCCCTGGGCCAGGCGTGGAGCTCTGAGCAGGTAAACCCTCTGAACGCTGGTTTACTTAACTATAAAATAGGATGGCCATGAGGTTACCTGAAGACTGACTGAAATAATGTAAATACCCCGGCATGTGGTGGGTTCTTGGTAAATTTCCAGCAATGAGAACGATAACAAAGAGGAAATACTCACAGCTTTTAGGGACTCTGAAAAGGTGTGTGACCATCAGTGCTGCATTGTCAGAGTTCTTGTATCTGTTTTCCATAGCTGCGTGTGTCCTACCTGATGGTGAAATTCTGGTCCGTCGCATTGTGCTGCTGGTGAGGAGGTGCCTTCTGAGGCCCTTGACAAGTTTTTCTTTTTGTTTAAGATTTTTTTTTTTAATTTTTATTCATTTGACAGAGAGAGAGAGAGAGACAGCGAGAGAGGGAACACAAGCAGGGGGAGTGGGAGAGGGAGAAGCAGGCTTCCCGCGGAGCAGGGAGCCCGATGCGGGGCTCGATCCCATGACCCTGGGATCATGACCTGAGCCAAAGGCAGACGCTTAACAACTGAGCCACCCAGGCGCCCCAGCCCTTGACAAGTTTTTCATTCTAAGATGCTTTGGATGAGGGAAGCCAAGAGCCAGGACTACTCTAAAATAACAACTAGGCTCTGGCAGAGGGCACCTTTTTGAGGGAAATGAAGGTAATTTAGATTATGAATTGGATATCACCTCTTTTGGCCACTTAGAGAATTTATTTCCTATTCAGTTCGAAGGTCTTTCTTGGTATGTGGGGCTCCTGAGTAGACAGGGTGGTAACGTTGGTAACGTTAGAGAACTCAGTGCTTTCCAGGGTACTTGTCTTTCCTGGATGTGCCTCCACGGGGAAGGACGTGTCACATCCCGGAGGAGGGCAGCCAGACCGAGGAGCCCCTCTCCAGGGATGCAGCAAGCTCATGCCATTTGGAGGCTGGGCTCCTGACGTGGTCAGGGTCCACCAGGCTGCTCGCCTTTATGACACCCACCTGCACTTCTAGATCCCTTTCAGGGCAGTATAGCATAAAGGACAGGGCCTGGGTTTGTAGGCTGACAGCCCTGCGTCTTCCCCCCATCCTGCCACTGGCTAGCTGGGGACATGTGTCAAGCCATTCTCTCCTCAGGGCCTCAGTCTCCTCCTATGGGGTGGATATGGCACCTGAGTCCCACGGGGAGCTATAGGAAGGTCACTTATATGGGTGTATAAGGAACTCAGGAAAGGCAGACACCCATTATGATTTTTTGGCAGCATTAAATAGACCCACTTTATCAGAAACTGAGAGCTATAAAGGGTGATTCTCCAATAACAGGCTAGTTCACTTGGCCTTCCAACAGTCCCACTGTGCATTCCCTGAACCCTCTAGCACTCACTGCTGGCTCACATGCATGGCAAGAAGGTTTGCTAGGGTCAACGTGTGTATCATACTTAGAGATTGTAGAAGCAACAGATGTCAAAGAAAAGTCCATACTAAAGAATATTTATCTTGCTCTAAAATCACACATTCACTTGTATTTTTTAGACACATGTATCATGTTCTAAATTGTGACACTTTCTTATTTGTATTGACTTCAGAAAGAGAGACCACATCTCAATTTCCAAGCAGAAGGGAGCTCAAACCATCTGGCCCAAAGAGCAGTAGACACAGGGGAGAACAGTGAAGCATTTTTGTATTCTGGGTACAGAAGAAGTGAGTGCATGTGCCCATACCTGCATGCACAAGAAGGGTCTGAGTGTGGTGTGTGGATGTGTGTGTTGTATGTCTGTGACATATCCACTGAGTATTTCGTTTGTGTCCGGTAATATCCCAGGCCCTGGAATTCAGGACTATCGGGGTCGGAGGGAGGCAGGGCATGTATGTGCCCTGACAAGAGTGAGAAAGGACACAGCATCACGTTCATTGCACCTCATGCTTGTCCAGGCGCTGCTACAGGAGTTCACTTCCGTACCTAGAAGTATCCCTTTCTTTCTTCAGCATTGCCCCGTCTAGTGCCTTGTCCCGTGACCCAGGCCTGGGCCCGTCTGCCTGATTCCTCCCCCTCTTCCCAGCCTCTCCCTGCCTCGTAAGGCTCTGAGCAAGCCCTGCTAGGCTGGGCAGTTATCCCTGCAGTCAGGCCTGAGGGTATCCTTAGCCCAAGCATATTTTCTGGAGTTGAGGGCTGAAAGGAGGAGGTATCTTTGCAAGACGTTGTTCTCTTTTCAGGCAGGGCAGAGGACACCTCTTAGTTCTTAGTTTTTGGTCCCAGCCCAGGTTCAGAGGTTCAGAGGTTCTTCTGCCCCAGGCTGGTCAGCTACAGGGGAGGTCTGACCCCAGAACTGGGCCTTGGATGAAGCCTTAAAACACGCCCCTGGGGCCAGTAAGCGGCAGGTAGAGTCCTCAGCACTGTGCGGATGAGCGGATTCCCAGAACTTCTTCCTGTCCCTTCTTCCTTGGTGTCCAATGGCTCTGGAAGCACAGGGGCACAATAAAACATCTGGCCCAAAGTCAGGGCTTTTGAGCCACACCCTACCAGAGGGCATGTCACACGGTCTTACCAGAGGAGTCCCGGGATTTGGGGTGGCAAGGAGCCTTTTGATGCCTTCTGTTCCCTCACCATCCTTCTGAGAGCTTGAGGGAGCAAGTCTTGAGCCTAGTTCCCTGAAGAACTGAAGAGATACAGAAAGAAGACTTTTACCCCACAACCAGACAAATGGGACTAAGCTGAACCTTCAGATCTGAGGAAGGCAGCCAGCCTCTCTGGACATAGTCCTGACCCTCCCCTGGCACACACATCCCAGCATTTGCTTAGGGTGTTCAGCAGGATGGGGGTGTCCTTGGTGCACGCATCTGTACTCACTCACATGCATGTGGTACTGACCCACACATGGAAACCTGAACATACAGAAACAAAGTCACCCACATGTGAACACCCACCTCTGCACATATTCCATGACTCGTGCCCCAGGAGGCACAGTGTTGAACATGGAGCCTGGAAATCTCTATTCACTTCTGACCTGCTTTTAAGTCTCCTCGGCCCCCTCAGCTACATCCTTCTGATGGCATGGTGACTGTGACAGAGCTCGCTGTTGTGGATGGACTGACAGACTCCTGCACATGAGCTTCAATCCTTACAGTGTTAAGTTTGCAGCCTCTGTCTGGAAGACAGTGGAAACTCCTGCATAGCTGACATGGGGTTTGGGGTTTTTTTTTTTTAAGATTTTATTTATTTGAGAGAGAGCATGCACGAGCACCAGCAGAGGAAGGGGCAGAGAGAAAGGAAGAAGCAGACTCCCCGCTGAGCAGGGCAACGTGGGGCTTGAACCCAGAACCCTGGGATCATGACTTGAGCCGAAGGCAGACGCCCAACCGACTGAGCCACCCAGGTGCCCCTGACATAGGATTTTTTTAAAAAGCTGCTGAACCACATGCAGAAGAATGAAACTGGGCCCTTACCTCACAATATACACAAAAATCAACTCAAAATGGATTAAAGACTTAAAGCAAAAACCTGAAACCATAAAACTACTAGAAGAAAATAGGGAAAAGCTTCTTGACACTGGTCTGGGCAATGGTTTCTTGGATATGATACCAAAAGCACAGGTAACAAAAGCAAAATAGGTTAAGTGGGACTACACCAAACTATAAGCTTCTGTACAGTGAAGGAAACCGTCATCAGAGTGAAAAGGCAACCTGCGGAATGAGAGAATATATTTGCAAACCATATAT